TGTATTAGCGATGTGTAATCTACTATTGGATTATAGTTACATGGACACCGTTTAAATCGATTCGCGCCAGTGAACGATCGAACCTAAACCACATCGGACCGTATTCTATTAAATTAAGCCCATTGTTCTTCGCGGACATAGCTACGTTGTATCGGTCCGAGAACAGACCAATTTAAAGCCACGGGATCCAATTAGGATCGATCACACACATTCAATCGTGCTGTTAACGATCTGACTGAAGTTTATTAAATATTTCGCTCACACATGCGCGCGCAAAGAAGAATTTCCGCGCCAATTAATTTTAATATAATTTGATATAGAGAGCTCTCTATAGAAAAATTTTAGAGGAGCTCTTAATATAATTCCTTTTTTTTTTTTCGTTGGTGATGGATAAGCTTTTGGATTATATTAACAAATGTCACTAGAATCGTTTCGGATTCTATTTCGATCCTATTTCGAGAGGTGTGACAGTACATCAATCACAATAATGCATTCTCTGCGCGAATAGTCAGGAGAAGTATCTGTGTCTAAATTTTCTAAAAATATTATTTTTATTTTAGGAGATTACGGATAATACAATCATGTTGAATTCCGCACGGCAGAATGCGAAATGTAACGTGTGATTTGTACAAACAAAAGAAATTTGATCATCGCATCGCTGGGATTGAGGTGAGATTACAAGATTTTGACAACTTTGCTTCTAATTTAATATATGACTTTGTATTAAGATATATCGCGATAATTCGATAATGGCGAAAAAAGAATGCAACGCATGCCATAAATTCCGTATCATTATTTCCGGAAAAATGGATCCAAATTCGCTAAATTAGAGATATCGCAGCTTCGCCCTCCCGTTGCTAATTCATCGAGTTTTACTTCCGCATAATTGCATAATTACCTTCTCGGCCGTTATTAAGAAGCAGCTCGCCGGCGCCGATGCAACGGATAAGGGTGGCCGCATCCGGAGCAAGCACGGGAGAGAGATAATGAAATAATGGTGGGCAGATGGAATGATTACTTTCTTATCACCTGGAGGCAGGTAGGCTATTATAGCATTCATCACGTGGAACCTGAGGAGGCGAGCTCGACGACGACGGCGAGGCGGAACTCTCTAGGTGCCGGGGTGGCGAAGATGCAGGGGAGGAATAGACGAATAGACACAGGCATCCCCCTGGCCCCGGTATATAACCGGGGCTACGAAAGGGGTCCTGGCGGGGGTGTAACAACCCCATTATTGAAACTTCAAGCGCGGAGCAATCATTCTGCAATTAGCAAAAGTGATTAAGTGTGGAAGCCAAGGTAGCCTGGTCCCCTC